GGGAGATAAGAACCAAGAGAGAGAAAGAGCAAGCAAGTGCACACGGGAAGGGAGAGATGAGGATCACTTCACAGAGAGCTAGACAGTAATGACACTCGCCAGGAACATCAGGTCCATATGCTAAACAGAGATGCCAATTTCAGCCTGAATCAGATGATTATGTCAGTGAGAATGAGCAATGTAAAAAAGTGACAGGCTATGATGGTGGATTATCCCCTCTCTGCTGTCCACACGTTCTCTCTTGTGCTGTCATAGGGAGCAATTGATGTTTGAAAAGCCATGCTTGCATCTCGTTTGTGGAAAAGGTCACCTGTTCACCCATCTCTCCTTCCCTCCCTGACATCTGTTTCTCTAGTCAAGCCTCCAACTGTTAATCTCTTTCTAATGGGCCATCAGTCAGCCCCCTAGCAAAGCACTCTTCCTAGAGAGAGGGGCAGGAAGGACTGGGCAGGAAAGGAAGGAGAGATGGGCAGAGAGGAAGACAGTGAAAGAGGAATCAAAAAACAAAGCTGTATACAAAATAGTAAAATAAACTCAAAATTCACTGGGACCCACAAGTAGAGAAGCAGAGATTTTTTTAAATGGAGTGGGAAATATGTAAAGGCTGGGGAAGGAAGAGCAACACAAAAGGAATGAACTCTGAAAAAAGAGGAGAAAAAGAGCAGAGCCAGCTGGAGAGGCTGGAGGCAGCACGCTCACCAGCTAAAGGCAGACCCTGCAGGGCAGCTGTTTCTGGAGATACAGATAATTCAGCAGAGTGCAAAGAGCCATCAGCTGGGATCTGGAGCTGCAGAGTGGGGACCACCAGGAGCTGTCCCCTGTGTGGGGATGCCCTCATACATGGGGCAGTGTGGCCATGAACATGAACAGGGCTGATGGCTGGGACACAGCTGGTGCTGGGGACTCTCTCTGGCTAGGGAAGTGTGAAAGAGGAAAGCAAACAGGGAAAAAGTGTTTCTCTCCTTTTCTTCCTACCAACACCAGGATCCTCAACACAACAGATGTGTCACCTCAAGCTGTGAGGGCTCCCCTGGCTCCCTCAGATAGCACTCTGGCATTTATGATCAAAACCGTTAGCAAGGCTTCCTCCTCCCAGGCTGCCTGCTTTACCTAGAAACAGTAAATTGAAGTATTCGCAAGGAAAGGCCTGAACTCAAGGCTATTTCAGTCCAAGCAAAACCTGGGAACATCGGAAATCTCCCCACAAGAAAAGCCTGTTCATATTGCCAAGCCAGGGCAGACTCATTTACCCATCACACCAGGAGAGAAACTTGAAAGGAAGTGTGGGAGCTGAGTATTGGGGTGAGGAGGGTGGCTTGAAGGGAATCGAGATCCCCAGGGGCAGAGCATGTCCAGAGCCACTGTTTTAAACAAATTGGTTCACCTGCTCTGAATACAGATCTCTTTTCAAACCCCTTCAAAAATTACCTAATTCTGATCTTCGTGGCACTAAGCCCTTCATCCCTACCAGTGCAGATCAAATACTGAGAGTGAAGTGTATGACACAGGTCTACTTCAGGGCTCCAGCCCAGTGATCAGAAATGAGACCTGGGACAACAGAGAGCAGCTGCTCAGCTTTTTCTCCTTTCCACTTTTTTACTAACATGGGAATCTAATCCCAGATAAGACTGAAAACAAAATTAGTCCATTATCTGACAGCAGCCAGAAACTCATGCACCATAGGAAAGGTTAAGAATATGCAGACCACTGTGAAGCTCCTGCAGGAGAAGTTTCTCTTAACCAGGAGTAAACTGTCAACTGTCTAGAAACTAAAGAGTAATTGACGTGATCTATGCAGACCAACCCTACCAAACCCTATGTGCACATCACTGCCCCTGAGAACATGAAAGAGAAATATTCCATACAGACGTCTCTCCAGCCTGTTTGTGTTTACTCGCCATTTCAAAGTTACTTGACAACAATAAGAAGAGTCAGAAATCAGCCATGGAACGTACCAACTAGTTTTCACTTTAATCACCACCCCACAACCAATGCATGATTTTGTGATGTTTTGTTATACCCTAGTTTTACAAGACTGACATGATGTGGTTCCATCTACCACCCCAGGGAGACTGTTCCTTCATTTACTAAATGTCAGTATGATGAGCTGGCTTGGACATTTGCTGAATGTTTCTGACAAGTAGCAAATAGTGAAAAGAGAAGCAATAACTGTAAAATATGAACTTATGGATGTAATAAATGCTGGTATAAAGGAAAATAATGCAGGCTAAAGCATATGAAAGTACTGATCCGCAGGGCTGGTCTAGTTAGGAAACAAGGGATTGTCTCCTGATCCACACAAGACAGATCTCATAAAGTATTGATCTGATGTACGAATGAATACTGTAAGCAGATACTGGAGAAGACAAACGAAGTTACTCAGCAATTGTCTCATTGGCTACCAATGACAAAGAAGCTTGAATCCAACAGGCTATTTAAGAAACATATGAGAAAGGCAGCCTGGGACATTCAGCTGGGACCAGCCTTTCGTCCTCATGCTGAATAAGGGAGAAAAGTGAGCAGCACCAGATCTTCTGCGAATATTAAAAATAGTAATCCTCTTTAAAGTATCCTTCTGGACAGCCATAGGCATCTAAAATCTTGATTTTCAACACTGGATTTTAAAAATAGGCACTTCCAGGTAGAAGCAGATCTGAAGAACTGCAAAAACTATTTTAAGAAGGACAAAGATTGAAATGATGGATTTTGGATTGTGCAATGTCCCAGCAACATCTGAAGGTCTAATACGGAGGATATTACATGGTATAATGCACACTGATGGATTTGAATAAACTTATCTATTTACAAGTGATAACTTGTGATAAGCTTAAGGATTAAAAATGACTCACAGCAGTGTAGTTTTTCCCCATGAGTCTCCCTCACAAGAAATGTATAAGGACATGGGAATCTGCCTTGGCCATACAAAGAGGACAGGACAAGGGACTGAAGGGATAAGACAAAGCCAGATTCCAAGGTGATTTGGATCTGAGTAAAGTGGTTTGAGCTGCTGAGGTTAAGTCTGGCAGAAGAACATCGTGAATAATAAACCCCTGAATTGTAACAAACAGATAATTTGAATTCATGTTTTTCTTTCTGTTTGTCAAGGCTCAAGAATCAAAGGCAAAACTCGCATGTGGGCGCTCTGTCCCCCAGGTTTCTGTGTTTCTGAGCACCTTGTGCCTGTCTCCTGTGGTCTCTCTCACCCCTCAACCTGATGATTGGTGGGTGCTTTGGTCAGTGAGACAGCTCACCTGAGTATAGTCCGTGAGCAAGTGGAGCAGCAAGGAGCTGATGGATGTGTCACGAGCTGCTCCCAGGACCACTCAAACCTGTGACACCTTCACATGTCCCTTTGCCCAACCAGATATGTCCCCCAGAGAGTAGCTGGGGTTGTGGTCTCCCATGCACCAGAAAATAAAAGATCGAGAGGTCTCTATATGCATTACATCTGGGCCAGGAGAGGTTCATACGATGAAGTAGCTGAATCAACAGAAGCTACTTCAGTCATAGGATAGCGTCACCCTGCAAATCACAGATCTCTGTGGGCAGAGGGGTTTTGCTGGATATCATTCTGTGAAAATTTGTGTTTCTGGGAGGAAAAACAACAGGAAAAATAGAAAGGAAAGAGACAGAAAAGGATGTGATGAAGAATCAGCCTGAGATTGCAGTGATGGCAATGAAAACTGAAAGAGAGCAAAGGGAAGTGCAAATGCCTATCTCCTTTTGAGATAACTGCTGACTACAAAGACCTGGAATTTAGAGTACAGTCTGAATTTTTCTTTTTTTTTTTTTTTTTACATCTTCTTGTGCCAGGGGAACAGGATTCAGTATACACATTTTAAATAAACAGGCTGCACCACATTTTTCAGTTATGATCAATTTGGCTGACATCTCTTTCTAGTAGAAACAGCATGCAAGGTCATAAGCTTTTCCTAGCTACTTATGGATAAAAAGTGAAAGCATAACTTTAAGGATGTGTCATTAATAACCTGCTACTAGAAACCCCAAGGCTGCAGGCAGCTCCCACTCTGCTGCGGGCTGTACAAACACAGCGGAGGCAGCATAGAAGGGCTTAAATCTGCAAACACAACAGCCAGAACCTGAGAGTGAATTTTCTACCTCCAGCTCAAATATTCTTGTGCTAAACTCTTAATTCACGCTGTCTTCAATAAACTAAAATGAACAATGTCTCTCTCTGCTTGGTGCTCACATCTTTAAAACATCAGTGGGCAGTTTTCATGTTGTCCTGGGCTTCAACCCTTAGTCACCTCTCTGCTACGTGATAAATACATCGCTCTTTTTTATCTATTTTCATGAGTCAACCCCTCCAGCCTCTTCTTCATTCTCCTCTCCTCTGAGCTCCTGTCAGTATTATTCTGGTACTGAAGCATCCAGTGCAGTTTTGCATTCCGGGATCAAATTAAGGTTTCCCATCCTTGTATCAGAAACTAGCTGGGCTTTGAAAAATGCTCTAATGCTTGGTACGTGGGTGGGATCCAGACATCTGGGGCTTCAAAAACTGGCTCAGGCACTGTGTTGCCTCAAACAGGGAATTTAAGATACTCTGGGTCTCAGGATATCTCTATCCTGATACAGCACAGGACAAATCTGAGTGCCTTGCTTGAACCAGACTCATTGCCTATCTCTTTGCTGCCTGAAACTGTGTTCAGGACCAGACTTCACCTTGGCTCCAAAACTTCAGTGCAGTCAGCTTCTCAGTAGTGCAACGATCTCTTATTTTTGTGATCTGGGCAGAGATGTGGAGCGAATCATGGTCACATTCAGACTGACAGCACAGATCTGAGACATGGATGTACAGCATGGACTCCTTTAACATAAAGTACAGCAGAGCTACGAGCCAGAAATGCAGATACAAGGTCATGGGCGTGCTTAACACCCTCTGAAGCTGGCTCTGCACATCACAAAGTAGACACAGCCTCTGCTTCCCAGCTATAAAATGAGGGCACATAATCCTTTTCCATTTCACAAGTCTGTCATTAGTATAAAGTGCACTGCTGACTCAGAGCTGCTTGCAAACCACTGGCGTGAAAGTCAAACCTGTGCCCACACCTGCTGTCTACATCTGACCTATCTATCACTTCTTGCTGTCAAGTCAAAGGAAAGGCTCAAGCCATCTGAGCCCCCAAAATGACTGGAGATCAGAGGTGATGCCTTTCATAGCCTTCTTGTATAGATAGACTCTGCTCAGGCATCTCTTAATTAAGCTGGAAAGGCTAGCAAGCTGATGGATTTGAACTGAGGTGCTGGTGAAGTGCCTGTGACATCCCCAGAGAGCACATTAAATTACCCAAATAGACGAAGGATTCAGTAAGCTAATGAAGAGAGAAATGAGAGACAGAGAGATGAGGAAGATGGAAGTGACATGGGTGAAGGAGAGAGAAGCAGATGCAAAAACAAGACAGGATAAAAAAGAAAAATGGAGGGATAAAACTGAGCAGGGAGGAGTAAAAGAGAGATTGAAAGGAGGTGAGAGGAAAATATACAGAGTCAGTGGAAGTGATTAAGTGCAGGGATAAGGAAGAAAAGACCCTGCAAGATCCTGAGGCTTCCTCCAAATCCATGCTGGGACCATCTGTGCTGCAGCCTAGGGTCCAAGTTGCTCAATCTCTGCCTTTACTGAGTTGCATCAGCTGCTTAGTGAGGCCATAACCCCAAGTCGGACTCACCAGTCCCCGCTGTCCACCCTGTGCCCTGAGATGCCTTACCTGCTCGTGGTGCTCGATGCCCATGCTGATAGTGTTCACTAGGATTGCGATCATGATCCCACGGTTGAAGTACTTGCTGTCCACAATCCCTCGAAGCTTGACCCTCACCTCTCTCCACATGTCACTACAGAGCTTCAGCCGTCCGCCTTCTTCCACCTCTTCCTCCCCCTCCTTCTCCAGCGTGGAGGCACCCTGGTTCTCTCTGCTTCCCTCTTCCTCCTCTTCGCCGGCTCCCCCATCCTCCTGGTCTGAGTCAGCGCTATCCAGGACAGAGAGCCTTCGGGATGCTTTGTGCTCCCCCTTATGGCATCGGGGACAGTTGGTGGGATCAGAGGTTGTTGTCACAGCAATGGGCTGGACCAAGTCCTGAGGAGGGCAGTCAAGAGAGTTGTGCTGCTGGCAAAGCCCTGCAGAGAGAAATCATAGAATCATAGAATGGTTTGGGTTGGAAGCAACCAGAAAAGATCATCTAGGTCCAACCTCCTGCCATGGGCAGGGACACCTTCCACTAGCCCAGGTTGCTCAAATCCTCATCCAGCCTGGCCTTGAACAATTCCAGGGACGGGGCATCCACAACTTCTCTGGGCAACCTGTTCCAATGCCTCACCACCCTCATAGTGAAGAATTTCTTCCTTATATCTAATCTAAATCTACTCTCTTTCAGTTTATCACTTGTCCTATCACTACATGTCTGTGTAAAAAGATCACGCTTAAAGGGGAAGGCTTTGAAAAAGGCATTGAAACTGGGCACCTTTTTGGCTTTTGGTTATTTAGACAGGATAACTGGGCTTTTTAGCTATAAGGATGATTAAACACTGGTATGTCATCTCAAAGGCAGCAATAAAATCCATTGCCATTGCGGGCTTTACACTGACTGGCTGTGTCACCAAAAGGCACAGTACTATTCAGCTGCCAGTGATTAGGCTCAATGGGGGTTTCATGTCCATCAGAGGAAGGACTGTTTTGTCTGATGCAGGAATCACAGCTTGAGACTCAGTAGCTTGTGTTAAGTGGGAACTGAGGAAAAAATGATCACAAGGGCTGCTTTTGGCCTGAACTGCTACAAGTGGGGTCTGAGAACCCACATGCTGAGCTGAACTCTCTAAATTAGGGAAGCTACATTAGCAAAGCATCTCAAGAAGCCAGAAAAGGTAGTGCAAGAACACTTCCTCCTGATAGTCTGTGTGCTCTGAATCAGAACAGATCTCCTGACTTCAGTGAGAAAAGTAAATTTGTGGTCCTCAGTCCTCCAGTTGGGCCTGGAAGATCACATGAACACTGGAGGAATGATGCAATTAATCCATTAAAACAGTGCATGAAGCCTGCAGAAACTTTCCTCCTAGCAAGTACAGAAAATGGAAGCCTGAGTATGCAAGACGAGCTGAAGGAAAACGTGCCTTTTTTCGTGTTAATGTGAGCATAACTTAGGAAAGGCAGCAGCAGGCAGTTAATACTAACTCTATAAAACCATTTTTACAGTCACTTTTCAGGCTAGGAATCCAATTTAAATGGTATCTCATGTCTAATTTTACACAACAGCATGTGCTCCCATCAAGAGAAATTGTCTCCATTGCCCTTGATATCAATCCGACTTCTTCAGTATTGCTCCCTTGGTTCAGGAGACACCCTATTGCAATTCTACTCCCTTTGCCTCTCTTCTGAGGTCCCACAGCACCTCACTTTGGGAGGAGAGCTCTGGGGGACCTGCTGTGTCACCGAGTCCAATCTTTAGTCCCAACTCCATCATATCCTCCTAATGCTCCTCTCTCACAAACTATTATCATTATCCTGCTATATCAGACCTGGAGCCCTTCACAAACCTCAGCCAATGCCTTTAATGGTATCCCATTATGGTCTCTGGGTTTCAGACCTGGGTTTTCCATGTTCCCTGATGGTCACCCCTGTTTCACTCCTATTCTTGATGGTCATCCCCACCTTGCTGGTCTGGTGTGCTGGCCATGGCCCCATGCTCTATGGCCAATGTTAATTCTAATTCTGTGCTTTGTAAGCTCAGGTCCTTTGTCAAGCTGGCGCATGGAGATGCTCCCAGTTACTCTCACATTTCCACTCTTGGCATTTCCAGCTTTACCCATGCAATCCTTACTGTAGTGCCTCTGGCTTTTCCTGTTCATGCCTAGCTTAGCATCGCTCGACTCCACATGGCCCTGGCGCCGGCTCTGTATGCTGTTGTACAGCCCAAGGGTGCGGCGTTTGGCTTTGCGCATGATGTGGCAGATGTATTGGAAGATCTCCTCATAGCAGTCTCCTGGCTCCATGTAGCTGGCGACAGTGCTGGAGGAGAGGTACCGGGCCCTCTGCTCCTGCATCAGCTGGTGCTCCCGCTGCTTGGTCTCCGAGAACTGCGTGGCGATGACCACCAGGCACAGGTTAATCATGAAGAAGGAGCCCACCTAGTAGCAAAGCAAAGAAGGGACAGCCAGTGTCACCATGAGGAAGAACATGTGGGAGGCGCAATGTAAGAGGAGAGAGGAGGGGAAAGTGACTGCAGGCAGACAGAGGAACGGGAACCAGTGCACATACAGAGATGGGATTTCAGAGAAAGACAGGGCTGGCTGAGCTTGTGTTTGAGAACACACTCGATGTAATTTCCATGCAGAATTTAGAGCTCTGAACTGAAATGTAGGAAACACAAGCCTGATTTTTGGCTCCTTTGGCAGGTCTTGGGACTTTTAGCAAGTCACTTAGAAGTTAGGTGCAAAGGGTCTGATGAAAACTGGACTTTTTCTTTCCCTCTCCTTTGTGTTAAACAAAAGGTGAGAGACAGAGGACTAGTTTGGTTGCTTTCTACTCTGCTTGCTCTTTTACTACTGGAAAAATCATGCACTGTCTTTTATGGAGGGCATGCCAGTGTTCTTGGAGCATTTTATTTATTTCTACCATTTACACCTTAATTCACCATACAGGGAGATGGCACTCTGCTGAAACGAATGAGCTCTTAAAATCAAAGAGGAATTTACAGAAACTAATGACTTTGAGAAGGACACTAAATAGTCTGTCAAAACAGTCTTTCCTTGCTCATTTTCTATTCTTCTGATTCTTCCAATACTATGCATATTACATTAGCTCTTATTTTACTTGTCCTCCAGCCTAGGTAGACTTTCCATTTTGAATACAAAAACAACCACAACCCACTCTCCCAATTTCTTAGAAACAAAACAAAATGCCTAAGTTCTTCCTCTTCTCCATAAAGAAGCCAAAAATTCAGAGAGGCTTATTTTACACATTTCATAGAATCATAGAATCACTAAGGCTG